ACGTTTTCCATATAACAAATTCTTGAAGATTAACGAATAGATTTCTATTGAGAGATAGGACTTTTACTATTCACTTTATTGAAAGTACCGACCCTTTCAGTTTTATACTAATAAAGTCCCATCTCTCAATAGAAGTCTACTCGTTAATCTTCAAGAATTTGTTATATGGAAAACGTAATATTCAGCATGTTCCACAAACTACTTGTATCAGAATTTCTTCAAATGAAAGTTGACGATGGGTTTGTAGAAACCAACTTTCTCGAGATCCATAGAGAAAAAATTTAAGAGTAAAGACGGATATTAGATTTGTGATCAGCATCATAAGTTATACTTAATCAAGTATAATTCAAGAAGAAAATAATTGGATACTTGAGGTTGTCCTCTCGTTAGCTAAGTGGTCTAAAGATTGTGGCTATAAGAAGAAATATCTCCCGAAGAAAGTTCAAGATTTTCAGTACACATCTGTTTTTTTTGAGCTAAAACCATTCAAAATGAGATATTAGCGATCAAATGAACTCTTACTTGGCTTTTTACTCATTAATGGGCTGATTTTACTCAAAACCGATGGGTAATCGTTCATTTCAAAAATATCATTATCTTTTGGTAATTTCGGTTCGGAAAGAATAGATTGTTCGGTTGTTGCTTGAATCTCTCCTTCTTCTTCATCTAAAAGTCCCAAAAATGGATTGAACGTTGTCGACGATGCCAGTTCTAATAATGTACTCCATGTTGTCGTAGTAGTACTTGTCGTTGATCGTGTATGAGGACTATCTGGTGTAACTATTTAAAAGGCAAAAGATATTATAGTCAGAAAAAGTGCAGCCAGTTTTGGGAGTAGACCTACTTATAAAATAAAGCAAAAATCCTGTGTATGGTCGTTTCGAGTTGGCAAAATCCGATACAAATTGCAATGTTGCTCCAATGTAGTCATCGAATAAAAGCTGTATACCATTCTTTGAACCATAAAGTTTTTCACCATTATTAATTCTTAAAAAATCATTTGCTTTTTTAACCCAAAGAAATCGCAATATACTTAAACCTTCGACATCAAATTCAATTGAAAAAATTTTCATACTAAAATAGAAAAAATAAGTTTCATAATCATCTTTTTAAATAAATGATGATTTACCGATGACCAGCGGATGCACGAATATTTTTAAAACAATCTTGTCGATTTGGATAACCGCCAGGATAATTTGGTGTAAAAATAAATCCTTCTGAAATACCTTGAACATTTGTCGATCCATTGCAAATATTTATTCGTGGAAGAAGTGATGACATAAAGTCTAAAAAACAACGAACAATCAGGAATAAAAGATGCTAATGTTAACTAATATTGTTTTTATACCTGGTACACAAGAATATTCGATATTAATGCTTTTAGATGAAAATTGACAATTTGATTCTCGATTTTGTACATTTTCCGATGAAAATATTTGTTGTCTAAGTTCAACATAACAATTTTCTTGTCCATTACATGATGAATAAATGGTATCAAGTTTATATCCTAAGCAAGTTGATGGTGGAAACCAGTTATCATTCTCGCTACGAACATCATTTAATTGAGGACACACGGGTGAATAATAAACTTTTAAGACAATAATTTTTGATTGTAGAGGACAACTTAATTTAACTGATCTGTCACACGTGTAACCTGTTTGATATCCATCTGAACAAAAGGGCAACAGTGAATAAAACAGATAATAAAAGGATCTAAACATAATAGACACATACTTGCATAATAAAGTAGTAGTAAGGTAATAATTAAATGAAAAATTGTCATTATAATGGTAAAAGCCCCAATCAAAAAAATATCGTCTTAATCTAAAATACAAATTTTTAATTATTATTAGTTATGCACAATGTACGTCTATTACTGTGAAAGAGATGTGTACAAGTGTGCATATTACTGTTACTGACGTGTTACCAGAACAAAAAAAGTAAGTTATTTTTCAAAGAATTTATAAATAATACTAGAGATCATCGTTAACTAATAAATAACAAAAGAAAATGTTAATTATTCGTTCGTACAAATTGAACACTATTTCTACTGTCACCTTGTATGATGTATCCTACTGATCGATATTACCTGAAACTTGAACTGCTGTTTTGACTTCTACTAAAATTTGAATTCGTTTCTTTTACTCCTAGGAATGCCGAGAAAATAAGTTCGTTAACAATGTGTAAATCCTTAAATTTAATACGAAAAAATTCTTATTTAATGAATTTCGTATTTTAGTATCACTACTACTTTTTTTCTCTCTCTCTTACGTATTAAAATTGCATTGAGAGTGACGCACCCACCTTCAACGATGCATAGTTTTTTTCGTTATATTATAAAGTTTATCAGCAGAAGTATTATTACATTAGATACCAGTTTTTACAGAATCATTTCTGTTTGCATCTTCATACATACATAATATGAAATCAATCGATCTATGTTCGTCTGTCTAATATTTTCAAACATAAAGAATACTTTTATAAGATAAGACGAGGTCTCAATTATAAATGTTAAAATATAAAAACGGTTGTTTCTCTTCTATACAAAATGGATCAGATTTTTCTCTTTTTGATATAGGTCACACTTTGATAGTTGGGTATATCAAAGATACAAAAAAACAAATTTTCATTCGAATGAATATATTCAATGTAATAAGAGCTGACATATTCTTCTTTTCAATTGCGCTTTTAAATCTGTACAATAATTCTAATACTATGTTAAAATTTACTATAAGAGTAAAAAATTAAATAAGAATCACATCAATGAATTGTCAGAGATTTTATTGATGAACGGAAATGAAAATTCTTTATATAGACGATAATTAAATGACAAAATTGCATAGAGATTATAACATCAAGCTTGCCAAAATCATGTATGATGAACAGAACCAGGAAAAACATGGCGCTATTTTTGCTCGAATCGGAACACTTCTATACAACTTACTGTTAGAAGAGAAAACGTTCGAGTTTTTAGTGTTTATTACTCTATCCAAAAAAATGCTTTGATCTCTCTCAGCACTGTCACGCACAATTAAAGAGAGAAATAAAGTAGTGACCATTGACATTCATCCCCGTGGTGTACTTGAGGCAACTGTCAAATAAAAAAATTTGGAGAGATATCAATCTAGTTTGAGAGAAAAGGAAAGTAATTTCACTCCTCAATCAAAAATCTTAGACGCTGAGAATTATTGTAACGATGCGATTTTACCCTAATAGTTTTTTTACCTTCAAAAAATTGTTTAAAATTGCAGACGAGAATTTGTTCCTTTCAGACGAAGAGACACAATTTTACTGTAGGAAGACTAATTGCGTCATACTTGAGGAGAAATGGACACTACTGAGTTGAGCAATGGCTTTACCAAAAACGCTTGTGTCTACCTTTTTACATATGAGAGGAAATTAATGATATCGAGATTTTTTATTCGAGATATAATTTCTACCATCTCAATAGAGGACTAAAAAGTACACTGCATCTCGTTTTTCTCTACTTAATAAAAAAATGTCATTACTAATAACATGTCGTACCTAGGGCTTAAGTCGATTAACGTATATACTTGTTTTCGATATCAAATTTTGATCATGATTGTTGTTACCATCAGACAAAGTAAAGTTATTCTCACCTACTAAGAAGATGATAATGACGAGCAAAAGATAGGTTAATCTTTCGTTTAAAAAAACTTATTTGATAATTGTTAACCTGCATATGTACACAAACCGAAACAATAAGAATGTAAATCCTTTTTATAAGTCAATCTCAATTTTTGTTATCTGCCGCCTTATTTCAATGTATGTGTTGAACATACACAGTAGTGGTGATAATCAACAAAACAACAAATATCTATGTTGTGTTGTGAAAACGAATAGAAAGAATACGTTTTGAACTTGAATGAGAAAAAAAAGGAGAGGGTATGCAATATATTCACCTCTATCGATAAGCAGTTTAATGGGGTCTTCGTACATATATATGTTCATTTTTATAGACTAAATACTTTAACCGAAAAAAAACTTATCTCTCTTCATACATAGGAAAAAAATAATAGTGCGGTCAACAAACACCGTTAAAGTAGGTAGAGAATAATAACCGTTACTTTCTTTCTATCAAAAAGAAAATGATTTCGAGAAAAAAGAGACCCTCACATTCCAGCTGCACGCAATATAAAAACTATTTTTGTTGTGATTATTTTAGTCTCTTAGCCATATACGTTTGTTCTCTTCAACAAACAAAAATTTTATAAAAGAGATAGCATATGATTAGACACATTAGGTCAAACTATAGCAGTAAGAGAGAGTAATACGAATATTTTTACAACTTATATATATATACACATGAACCATCATGAAGTTAGTTGAAGGAAGCTAAAATTCAGTACTCGCTCTAACAGTTTAAATTCTTTTCTTTCATTCGACTACTCGAAAGTCTTTCGGAATAGATAGCTTTCTTCGTCATAAAAACGTGCATGTAGATCAGAAAAATATGCATATGATAGACTGCGGTATTTTCGACTCAAGAAAAATACTCGACTATTAAACTATTATAGTCCATTTTTGATTTTATTTCAAGATTATCTTAAAATATTCGTAACTTTCATTCATTAAAACACGTCATACTCGAACCTACTGTATTCGTATCTTTTCGCTCGATTATCCGAAATATCAGGTAAGAGACAACATAGTTTGTCAATACATACCTAATAATCCGTACCTTCTAATAAAGCACTTTTATTCCTTCAAATATAACGGGCAAATCCTTTGCATAATGTGATGCAAATCAGAACTCCGCACGAGTTGAACGACTCGCTTCGGGTCGAATTCGAACCATCGGTTCAAAGAAAAATTTGAGGTGGGCCAAGTCAACCGTTTCAACTGCCGAGCCGACTCTGCACTCTTTGTTTGTTCAATACAAAAAGTTCTTAAGTCTAAATCAGATTTTTTTCGTGTTTGTTTTGTTAATAATTTGTATATTAACCAATACCAGCGTGATAATTAATCGGTGAACGATGAATACTTACCATGAGTACCGTGTCAACATACACGCCTTATATTTGGTTAAATTTTTCCAATATGTGAAAAAAGATTTGACCAACTAAATCAAGTGGGTACAAAAAGAAATATAACGACTTCGGGCGAAAATTTAGTTAGGTCCGTCGGAATCGGATCGGGTTGACGAAAAGGTAGCCTCTGTGGAGCCCTGCTAGGAACGCAAATAACGAAAGTATGTGTGGGGGTACATATTATTGAACTAACTGAGAAAATGGCTGTTGTTTTTTTCCATTTTGTCTCGGACAACTTTCTTTGTATCGATTTTGCACTATAGACGAAATAAATCCTGTTGTATTTGTCCTTTTCATAATATTTGACCCCTTTTGACAGTTCTGAAATCAGCAACAATCAATTCTGCTTAAACTGGTGCATATATATGATATATGACAGATTTATTTCAGTCGTTTTTAGAAAAAAAAACAAAAAAATAAGAGCAAATGAAAATAAGTGTAAACAAACAGAAAAGCGAGCGCGCCAAAACAAGAAAAGAAGAACCAACAACAACAACAACAACACATCTGTCGTCTACAATAAAAACAGAAGATTCTCAATGACGGAGAATTTTATGTTTTGAATAAAATCGAATAAAGGACAACCAAAAAATACATCTTTTCCTGTACATATTTATAATATTTTGACATAGGACTACTATGTCATACACAAAACAAAAGAGCACAAATAAAAAACAAAAATTTTCGAGATAAACAACAGCAACATTTTTTTTGAATTCAAGAAACCTAATTCATTGCTAAATACGGAGATTTCCTTTTAAGTTTGTCTTGCATACTCAATTCGTACGTATGTAAAAATTCTAATACTAGATGCAGTACAAAATGGGACTTAAATACAAATATCTATTTATATACAAGATTTTCTTACATTGAAAATCATCGACTGTTTGACAATAACAAGTAGAACACAATAAGGATAATAAAGTTGAAAAAGAGAAAAACGATCAAAAGAAACACAACAACAACAATAGTAAAGCAGTTTTGACAGAAAGAAATCGATTGTAAACTAACAACCATTTGTACGATTCATAATTCATGTTTTTACTTGGATCGATTAGTTTTTTTTTAATGAAAATGACACCAGCTAATCACCTTTACAGAGGTGAGGATTAAAAGTAGCCTCTTGATAGTCTCTATTTAAACAAAATATCTAAAATGATTTTATAAGGACTTTAGCTCAGATGAGGATGTTTTTCTTTTTGTACATCTTTCCTCTCACTATAATTCACAGAGGAATACTGAAATAATTAGAAAGTAAAATGAGTGAATGGATTTTTCCAATGGAAAAAAAAAACTGATCTAATCTGGTAGTAACTGTATATGTTACACACTAATCTAGAAACAAAATATATCTGTATTTGATTTCTGTTAAATTTCTTTGTATAGTTTCTAATATATAAACGCGCACATCCACATGAACATGAAAAAGAAAAATTATCAACTACTAGTACAATAATGTAATACTTCAGTTAAAATTTTTCCAACATTTGTATCGATGACATGTGATATAGATAAATTCAATAGTCTATCTTCATAACGTTTCATTATATTTACATTTCCATTATAAGATGCTATTGTTAATAAACAATTGGCACAACGTTTTAACATATCAACCGTTGTAAATAAAATGCTATCAACCGTTGGATTATTTTGATGTTGCTGTTGTTGTTGTGTTAATCGTGCTATATAATCGACGCCAAAACGTTGCATTAATTCACTAGTTTTCTGTTCATAATCTTCAATAAAATTAATTAACAGAGATATTGTACAAGGTATTTTAGCTAGAACACTGGATGCTAATGTATCACATTTGACTAATGCATTCAAGAGTACAACAGAAAATTCACGTTGTGTATGTTGTTGTCGTTCTAAACCACGTTGTTGTCGATATTGATAATGATTTGTTTGCATTAAATAATGATGATGTGGATGATAAGCGGTTGGATAAAAAGAATCGTCAACAATTAACCAATCCGTTAGTACATGAAATAATGATACAATACGATAGAATGGTGGCGTAGCCAGTATAAAATCCATATTCATCTCGTGTACACTCATTTTTGATAATATTTCAATTGAAAGACGTTGTGCAGACAAATAGTTTCGATTATCGTAGTTTGTTGTCGTATTTATACTTGATGATACTTGGCATGGTAATGGATCAATGGCATCGCCTGAATAACATGTTGCCCAATGTAGTAGACCGTCAATGAGTGTATGTAATACGTCATTATCATAGATATTTAATTCAATTACGCCAGCTAAATTAGCCAATGTAACTAACGTATTCTCACGAATATTTTGAACACATTCGAGCCAATAAAAGTTTGATGTTTTCCATCTCTCGGATAAATGGTCATCCGATATATCTGTGAACTAGAAAATAAACACAAAGTATTGGATTCATCAATATCTGAATATCCATAGTTTATCATTAGGACTTGAAATTAATAAGTCACATGTAATGACCTATTCTTTCAAAGGCTTTTATCCGCAATTTTGGAAGATAGACTTCTCGAAAAACGATATCCTTTCCTAATCAATGGAACTACGAAGTAAGTGGTAATGAGCAATATTAATTTGTGCTTATAATTAGTGTGAAAACAACGAATTAGTTTTGTAATCTTAATCTCTAGACATGACTACTAGCTGACTTACCTTTTCCTCGTCATCTCCTTCGACATTATCTGTTGACGAAGATTGTTTCAATTTCGTAATTGATGATAGAGAGTGCCGTCGCCTTCTCCCATTAGTTTGACAGTTATCTGACTGTGTTACGGTTAATATCGCAAAACAAGAAGAAGCAGTAGAAGATGAATGTGGCACTGAAAGCTGCGATGTACACGTAGTACGGCTACCATTGCCATGCCTGAGTAATAATAATCGAGCTAATAAATGAATTAATGTTTTCGATTTACAATATTCAAGATCATTTCCAGATATAAAACTTAAATTTCTTATTATAGATGATACGCATATACAACGTGAACATATCTGATCGTACGATTGTGAATGTAAATAGAACAATGATTCATCGTATTGATTACAAGAATCCAAATATAATGGTGATGTGATATTGGTAATTTTAGATTCCACTTTATTATTTACTAGACAACTACCAGCATAAAGTTCATTTGCATGATGTTCATCCGGGTCATATTTTCTTTTATGACGACGAAAAAATTCATTATTATTACTGTCTGATACAGATGAATTTGTTGATATTTCTTCATTCAATTGGTCTGTTGCTGAGACGGACTTTTTCCTCGGTTTATAGACATGATTTGAACTCAAATGTCTTCGTCCTTTTATTTTCGTCCGTGATGGTGATAATTTTTTCGATTTTTGTTGTTCCTCACCGGTATTAGTAATAGAAGAAGCGTTCATAGATTCACTTATACACGTAGAATGATCTTCCATTGAGACGATGTTGTTCGGACTCTTCGAATAACTATAATACAATCGCTCATAATAAGAATCGTCTATTCTTAATGGATCAAAATGAGTGCGGATATAGGATAATTCGTCCGCATCGTATAACTCCAAAACCTACAATATCAAAGTAACAGTTTGACATAGTATTTTTAATCTAGTCGATGGTATTTTCTTCTATCGAAAATACATAACAGCTTCCAAAAATCTAATAACATCTATCTTTCTAGACTAATGTGGGAGAAAAAGAGAACAAATGTCAAATAATATCTTACATCCAATGGAGTCTTTTTCTCATTTCCATTATAGTCATGTATTTGCTCGTATGTTACTGTTTGCTCTAGAAGTGCTTTCGATTTTAGTCGATGATATTTCATTAAATAATTTGATTCAACACGATAAAGTATATCGTCACGTTGTCTCTCTTTTTTGATTGTTGTACACGTCAAATGAGATGAACAATTTAAATCATTGGGTGATGGTACACCATTAACCTTTACTCCTGTTTGTTCAGCCGTTTTACTGTCTAGCGACGAAGTTCTGACTTTCCTCGTTTTGATAGATGGCATACGAAATTCATCGAATAATTGTTGAAGGCATTTAAGATAAATATCGTAAATAACTTGTAACAATCCTGGCATTTGTTTAAGTCGAAAATAGGTATTTGTCTGTTCGTCACATAGCATCACATTGATAGTATCTAGTGCCCATGTTGTTTCAGCTAATAGACCACCACGTAAAGACATTAACAATTTCCATGGATCAACTGGTGCTAAATGGACAAAAATAAATATATGGAGCATCTAATTAGAATTTCACAGCGGGCATTTTTTTAATAGCAGGCGGACATCAAAAGTTTTGGCTCCTAAACCATTTTTCATGAATAACGATCATTGCTTAGTCATCTCTGATACTTTTCAAGAAGAAAATAAACGTTTTCGAAAAATCGGTCTATTATTCAAAATCATTATCATTTCTATTTTTAACTTTGCAAGATTAGAAAATAAAAATTTTTTAATTCAAAACCATGTGTTTTAGGCTAATTTTTGTCCAGCTGTTTTCCTATGACCCTTGGCACTCGACTTTTTACGTAATGTGCGCCCGGATACCTACTGTGAACTGGTCATTTGATACTTACTGATATCTTTTGATGTTAGCTTTTTTCTTTTTCCTTTTGTCACAATTGTGGTAGCTTCAACACTATCAGGAGGAAATAAAACATCTTTTGACATCGTTGTGGGTACTGTTGTGGGCGTATGTACATGGGCAGCAGCAGCTACAGCTGCTACTACTGATACACTTGGTTTAGTATTTACTGTTGAAATATTTGATGTTATCAATGAAGATGATGAAGAAGGTGGCACTGATTGAGAAAGTGATGTTGTTGACTGAGATGATAACGCAGTGGTAGACGGCCGTAGCTTAAGAAATACATACAAAACAAAATTAATAAGCATAAGGTCATTTTCATGCAAACGTACTTGATTCATTAACAACTTGTTTATTTTAGGATCTTGACATTTTGATGGTGACGAACGACCGCTATTTGATGCTTGTGTCAAAATCACTGGTTCATCTATAAAATCAAAGTAACATAAGCCTGTTTTAAAAAAGTGTTCTATGAAAAATCATCTCTCAAAATATCAGAAATTACTAAACGTAAATTCGCACCATTAGATGAACTATCTCGAGCAATTGTAAACGGTTCTAGCATATCATTAGGTTTTTTCGCTGTTGTATCATTCATAACATTTGTTGGATTATTATTTACAGACGAATATGACTCATTTGGATTTTGTACTAGAATTAATAACATTTAGTGCAAATTTTGATAAGAAAAATGCATAGGTACAAACAACTCACCCGGCATCCCACCCATAGGAAACGAGGATAACGTAGATGGTGGCTGAGTTGTTGAAGTGTGTGGTGATAACGTCGTACGTGATGGATACAAACGATCAGTCGAAGATGGGTAAGAACTATAAGAAAAACGATTAAAAAGGATTTTATTAAAAAAAATTCATTTCTCTCATTTACTGACCTCGTCATGGTCTGTGACGGATAACTATAATGAGTTTGAGTGGATGGACAAGTTGATTGAGGATTATATGTAGCATTATTATTATCTTGTTGATTTGTTGATTGTTGCTGTTGTACAGGTGGTGGTTTTGTGTTACTGTAAGGCGATGAAGGAGGATTTGTATACATTGGTGATTGTGTACTGGATGGTCTGTGTACTGAATTTGGATATGGCAATGTCTTTGGATAATTTGTCGATGGCATCATTTGGCGTTGTTGCTGTTGATATAGAGACATATCCATCTCATTATAAGAAGGCATAACTCCACTACCACCTCCAGGATCTTGAATAAATTGATTCATCATCATATCGTTGCTAGTAGGTATACCAGTCTGTGGAGTTGATGGTGGTGCATTCATGCCATACTGCATCATCATCGGACGATAATTATTAGGGTTCGACGATGGATTCATCATGGATAGCGGCATCATTTGTGGCGGACAATAACCTCTCATTGCCGCTAGGGGGTTATTTGTCACATTTCCATAAGGATCCAACGGCATTGTTGGTTGTTGTTGCAACATTGGTTTCATATCATTACTACCACTACCGCTACCACTACCACTGCCATTGTCTTGCTTGCGCGGCCCTTTTACACCTTTTTTTGAACTCGTTTTCTCTAACTCAAGTAATATTGGTCCAGGATCAATACCGTTTCGATCATAACGACATTCATAGTGGAATAATTTGAGAGCAACATATTTCTGTTTCACATTGAATGCTGCACTAGACGAATTAATTATATTTAATTTACTAGCTATTTCCCGCCAATGTTTATTTTTTGCAACCTAAGTATAAAGAAATAAATTTAGCCTTATCATAAGTAAATATGCTTCTTCACATACTTCTTGAAATCCATTTTGTTCTTTAACAAGTAAATACAGTTTATATAAATCAATGGTTTGTTTTGATATACTTGGTAGATTCCGACATACAACATGATGTTCTTCCCATAATTTTTGTAAACGATCCACAAATAAATGTCTTTCGGGTTCATCACTAAGTTCACGTAAACGACTAAATACTTCTGCGGGTGTTGATTGTGTGGAACCGGATGATAACTTCTAGAAACGAAAAAGATCAATTACAAATAACGTTCCAAAACGTTTAATTCGATACATACTCTTCTATTTTGTTTGGCGTCTGTCGACGGTTGTGGACTTTCAGACCAACTTGAATTACTAGAGTCAAGATCATCTGGTTGATAAGATGACATACTTGCAGCGCCCGGAGATTTAGGGCCATTATTATTATTATTATTATTACTGCTGGCGCTGCTAAACGGAGGATTTGATTGCGAAGTACTGATCATGTTGGCGCCTGCATGTGGAGCAAGTTGTGCCTCACTCAATTTACGATGATAGTTTCCCGTTGTAGTTGAATCTTCATTAGGCACACCTGCGGCATGTGACGGAGGACGAAACGATGACGTATCATTTAAATTTTGCTGTTGTTGTGATTGAGCATATAGATCTATAGAGAGAGAAAGAATAGAGGATAACGTCATTTCTGGCGATCAGCGGAGCACGCTAGGTGTGATGGCGGAACATATCCACCTGAGAATTGTAAAATATAGGATGTGAAAACGTACGATGACCGTCAGTCAGTAAAAAGCTTTAGAGCGAAAGATGTCAACAATATTATTGCTAGATTCTGATATTGTGACTGAAAATCCTATACAAGAATGACTTTTTTCTGTTCCCCAAGATGTAAGATAGAAAATAATTTCGATGACTTACTCATTGAATAATTGTAATTTGCACTGTCGTAATTGTTACTATCACCGCTAAATGTATTTAAATAATTATTGTCGTTAGTACTGTATGGATAATTACTGTTGTTCATATTTGGATTCGTTGGTCCGTTGGTTAATGCTGAATTTGTATTGTAAGGTTGTTGCTGTTGCTGATGATGATGATGAAGTTGTGGATTGCCACCAGGAAATAATGTATTGCTTGAATTTGCATCGGAGTCACCTGTACTACTCGCTAAACTTGGTGTTAATGATTCTGATCGACTTTGTCCGAAGGAATTACTGTTAAGACCTTGTTGCGGCCATTGTGCTGATGAAGGATAACCGTTTGGATTATTATTTCCAGCAGAAATGAGATTATCACGTACGAATGTTTTTTGATTAGTATTAGAATACGGACCGTTTACAATATGATTTGCGGTCAGTGTAGAATATGGATTATATGAACTATTAGGTGACATGTAACGCTGTTGTGATGACGATGACGGAGTTGATGCTGGTGGCGGTGTTTGTTGACTATTTGGATTATTAGTGTTTGACGTTGATGATGAACGTTGTGAACGATTTGGTGACAACTGATTTTGTCCACGTAACGACGTTTGTGATTGTTGTTGAGGTGTGGTCGACATCATCTGTTTCATTTGCGATGGTGAGTTATTAGTAGGTACTAATCCATTCTGCATAGATGGACCATTTGTATATGGCATATTCATCATATAAGGACGATAATTAGTCATATTTGTTGCTGATCTCGGTTGATTATTTGATGGTACCATAGCAGCACCGTATGGATTTGACATGTAACCTGGTGCATAGCCTACTGGTTGTCCACCACTTGCTCCTCTTACAGCATACATGTTCGCAGACGGATCACCTGCAAAGCAAATAAATAAAAAAACAATAGTTAATTAACTATTCATCTTCATAACAAAATTTATTCTTCCCACTACCTTTCATAGTGGATATTCCTGAAAGTAAAAAGCATCTCTTGTTTCTTAACTATAGTTATATTAATAGTAATATATATTATTAGTATTAGTATTACTTCAACTACTGCCTTGTCTTGCACATGTTGTATAGAGAATAAGAGAGAGAGGGAGAGAAGAGACACATACAACATGGAAAAAAGCTGAAAGAACGAAGAAATTGTTCTCTTTTTTCCTCTCTTTTTCTTATATGACTATATGACGAGTATGTAGCTCTTTGCATGTGGCGCAGTACAAATATATTCAATTTTTCTATTCATAGACACGTATAGATGGCTTAGAACAGCATAAGCAATAAGAAGAAAATAAAAGTTTCTTTCATTGAGTGGAAACAGTCCAGTTCGTTGCACGTATAACTTCATTTCTCTCGTCGCTTGTTGGTAGTGAGATGAAAACTTTTGGTAAATGACAGAAATAAGAAGCATACAACATCTCCAAACAGATTTTCAATTCTTTTTTTTTCTTCATTGATTCATTTTTTTTTCATCTTCCTATTATCATATATACATAATACTTAGTGAAAAAGCAGAAGAAAAGTAAAAACACATCTAGACACCCAACGCACAGAAGAAAAAAAAATGAGTAAAAAAATAAAGAAATACATACACATACTCACAAATAACAGCAAAAAACGAAGTGGGAGAGAATAAAGAAACCAAACATGACCACTACGGGATAAGATCGATCGCGTATTTTTCTGTTGCTGATGATGATGTTGAAGATACTCTCACAAGAAAGAACGAGTGCCAAAACTGACGATTCAGCAAAACTTGCTAACACATGTAAAGCATTTTTCAGTGTACCATAATACGAATGTCACATCACCATTCAAATTTATTAAATTAGTCTGGCATATGCCAAAAATACATCCAAACGAGTGAAAAAACAATATTTTTTTTGTGCTATTAATCTAAATACCTTTATTCCTTTCGAAGGTTTTATCTATCCAATGATGCTTTTTAATAACTTACCAAAAAGTTCTGATGCTGCATAAAAATTTAAAAAAAAAGCGTATTCGATAGTAAATGAATATCTATCAGTAATAAAAAAAAATACGAACACTGAGTATATAATCATCACATGGTGTCAAGGTGAGCAGCATTAAAATCGCTATTTCTTCCTTATAAATTGAAAAATTGACTCCATCTATATCGGTTTTCTTAAATTTTCAAGCACGTTAACACAAATCATTTTACCTATCATAAAATTTCACATTTTAATTGCTTTAGTGGAAGAAAAAAATGTTCATCATAGAACAGATTTCTATGAATAAAATAGACTATATCTATTCTTCATAGTTATATTTTTTTCCAAACAAGCATAGAATAACTACATAGAAAAAGACTAATCAAGCATTATTAACTAACCTTGATTATATGGCATATGGTAATTCATTTGTCCTGATTTTATATGAGATGGTGGTGGCATCATTTGATTGTATCCTATAATCAAGCAAAAATTAGAAATTAAAAACTGACTATATATTAGAAATCAAAAACAAATTACATGCAAAATATTGAAAGTATCATTTTCAAAAACAAAAACGAAATAAAAAGCAAATATAGGAAAAAATAAAAGTGAGCGCATACCTAAGAGCAGCGATTTTGTCATCAAATTGAAGACTACCTGTCTCTCTAGACCAATTAAAATTCTCACCATCATATTAGCGGTATTTTATCTGATTATTTATAACAGCATAATCATTCTTTTATAATCTACCATAATAAACAAATTTTAAAAATAGACGGACTCAATACTCATTAGATTAGTAATTGATTTCAATGTTTAATGCTGAAAGAAAAAAAACAAACAGAACAAACCTGAACCACCCATTGATGATAATTGCTGCTGTTGTTGTTGTTGTTGAATATTTTCATTCGGCATTTGATGTGACGATGGTGATTGTGGTAGAGACATAACATTGTGTCCGCTTGATATTGAGGCTGAATGTGAACGATTTTCACAGTCATTTGTAGCATTCTGAAATACCGAAAAGAAAAAAAAAACAATTATCATTTAGATGTTTATCTAACCTTCTTCTTCGTACCTTTTGTAGTAGTTGATATAGTTAAAGCTTTTTTTAAGACAAAATTAGATGACTGACCAACTTTTTTTTCTTACATAAACTGAAACTAGCACGATATTTATTGAAGAGACAGCTATGAATGGAGCTTCTTCTTTTTTATGGATAATTCCGTTATTCCGTCTTTCTACGTTTTTCGATTAGTAAACATATGTCTGACATTTGTAGACAAAGAAATAAAGAGTAAATGAAAATAGTATACGAGTAATAAAAAAAGAAAAGAGAAGATTGATGAATGTCAATAGATGACAAAAAAAAAAAATCAAAAATTTGAACACTGTCATTGTCAAACAGATTGAGACAAATGATATATCAAAGTCAATTTTCTAGATGCAAATTTTTTCTAAATATGAAAAATATTTTGTGATTGTTAAACATGGTCACTTTGTGTTGTAATTGCTCAATTTATCCATTGTAGAAATATTCTACTCAAATAAAATCATATGAGAGATAAACTTCAAAATTCTCTTCAAAACAAAAATATTTGTTATATTTTCAAATTTAATTAATTTTATTGAATAATAAATAAACGTGAGGTACATTTTTAATATAAAATCAAATCGTTTTTTTCTTAGATATTCTTTGTAATTTTATACTATAGAACTCTAAACCTTTGTTGAACGTGAATTGTACACTGATTACACCGAAATAGTAGAGATACATCAGTTATCTAACGGATATTAAAGTATAGAGAAAAGTTTAAGTTAATTATAACAAAAACATGAGTATTTTTAAGATATCATTATATAATTATTCATGTCTTTTCAGTATTCGATTAAAAAATTTTTCTCTTCTACTCATACTCAATAAATTATTTTGACATCGTCCAAATACATAGAATTTTTCTATAAGATAAATGAGAGAGCAAGTGTGAACAAGTTCCAATAATTATGTTATAACAATTTTCTCTGAATATATCAAAAAAAGATTAGAAAACAACTGATGAAATATCTACCGAATAGACTCTAGCTGATATAATTCAAACTATATGAAAATATTCATAGCTTTAACGTATGATTTTAGAGTGAGAGAAGAGTGCATACGTATGAGAAAATTACTTTATTTTCTACTTGTTTTAAATAGAAGTGTTAAACAGCCAACAAAATAATGATCTTTCAATCGTTTTATCCAGGTAATAAATGATGAAAATTATTTGAGATAGATATTTACTTGTTCATTTGTTCCGTTTTTCTTTGCTTGTTAATTTGGAAAACGGTTTCATTTATTTTCTTCCATTTTGTATAGATGTTTTAATCAAGATAGGATATAATTTCTTTTTTTTTTTATCAAAGTCATTTCATTTTTTTTCCTTCTCTCTCCTTCTCTCTCTCTCTCTCTCTCTCTCTCTTAGACATATCACCAAATACAAACATATACACCCTCTATCCATCATACAAATCAAAATTTATAGATATGTACATCATATCTATCTTATTTGTAAATGTCCAATTAAATAATACTCACACAGATCAGCTGTTTCATTTAGAAAAATATTATAATCAATATGCCAAAAAAAATATAAAAAATAAATAGAAGAAAAACTCGATCCAAAAAATAATATTGTATGCACGAAAGATCAAGGTTATATATAGGTTTGTTTTTCTCTCTTGTTCTTCTTCTTATAACCATTAATTCATTCATTACACAACAAGTGCTATCATAGAAAAAAGTCTCTTTAACAAAAACACACGTTTTTGTTGTTATGCCAAAAATAATAATAATGAAACACAGACACAATGTCAAAAAAAGAGAGGAAAAAAACCGTTTAAAGTCATAGCACTTTTATTTTTCTTCATTTTCTGACATTCATGTTTTATACACTTCAACAGAGAATAATATAAATACACTCGATCTGTTAATTGAGAAATAATATGAAATCGAGTATATAGTTCAATCATTTCACTAATCATGTGCATTTTTCTCCTTTTTTTCCAATAATACAAAGAAAAATAGATGAATCTTAGGCTAAATACACATACATACCAGCTATACATCAAAAATACCAATTGATGTAAGTATTTATTAATTTTACTTAACTGATATGAAAGTAGCACAATATTAAACAATCTTTAAGATTACATAAATATTAGTTTGATAATAATACAAATAAACATGTGACAAAATAATATGTCTTGTATTAAAAGAATAACTCTTACACAATTAGCAATATATTACTACTGTTAACAGTCGATAAAAAATATAATTCTCTTTCATAAATTGCTTTCTCACAATAAGAATTTTGACATTTTTTCAAACTACTTAAAGTATCAAACACTTATGATATTCTTATGATATACTTATGTTATACGAATAGGGTACTGATTTAAAGAATTTAAATTATGTTCATCGCGAAGACAAGATAATTATTTGTAAATAAAGATATATACACACAATCTACGTAAGTATATGTTCTACAAACCTTTTCGTTTTGAGATCCCAAATCTTCTTTCGTCATTGCTGACTAAAACCACACAAAGAAAAACGATGATACATTCTGTTTTCTTTTCTTCTTTAGATTGTTAGTAAACATACTTGATCACTGTTTGTAAGATTTGACGTTGCTGTTATATTAGTAGTAGATGAAGATGATGTCAATGTCGTCGTTGCGGCTGTAGAAGATGAAGAAGATCGTGGATCTTTGTCTTTTGTTGTATATCGATCAATATCATTATATGGCGAATTCAGCTGAAAGAAAATGAAAGTCTATTATTAAAAAAACAAACGATTTATATAATTCAAAACATCACAAATAAAGCGTGCGAGTTAAGTTCAAGACAATAGAACAACACAACAAAATAAATCAAGCAGAAGAGTACAATTTACTGGTGTAAAACACGAACATCAATCGAAGAATACCTCCGATGATGGATGATGGTACTCGTTAACTATATTTCCGTAATAAGTACGAACAGATTCATATTGAGACGAAGAAGATATCGGAAAAGAATCATGTTGCTGTGCTGTTGGCGTATAATTATTTGACATAGATGACGGCTGATTATGATTGGCGAAATACGAACGAGAAGAATAATCATGTGAACCACTGGACAATGATGTACTATTCGTACTATTATGAGATAAACGTTGTTCATACGATAACGGTTGACAATCAATTTGATTATGGTTATTCTGCTGCTGCTATAAAACAGTTAGAGCATAGAAACATTCGCACACACACTCACACACGAACATTTACAAAGAAAAAAATGGAGGAAGACGTCACTAATAAAACGTAAAAACACTGGATACCTACCCCTGGAGTCATTGGATAGACTGATGATTGTAGATACATATTAGACAATCTGGATTGTGGTCCATTATACATAATCGGATTCATTATTTGTTGAGAATTGGAGCGACCGCCGTTCGTGTTCACCATGTTTCTTGGATCCCCGTAAAAATTCATTTGTTGCTGCTGATAAACATGCTGAGATTGGGCATTATAATCGGCGGCGGTCATTTGCGGGTTATTTTGTTCCGTTCTCATTCGGCTTGGAGATGAATCATTATTACTACCATAGAACATTCTTATATTATTTGAGGATTAAAAATTCCGAGGTTCAAAAATAAAAAAGATAAATTAAATGGTGAATAATTTAGAATAAACGAGAGCAAGTCGTTGTTCAATAGTTGCTGCCATTTCAATTTTGAGCCTAAAAAAAGCACAAAAGTAAACAAGAATGTAATTCAGATTGGTAGTAGAAGGCAGAAAAAATTCAGCTTACATTTCTTACAGTTTGATCGGTCTTTTGTTTTTTTTTTCTCAGAAATCAATCATTTTATTCTTGTTGACTAGGTCAACACGACAATTCCTTTTCTGTCATATAAAAATCATCTAAAACAAAACAAAATTACATCTGATAAAGTCAGTATTGCATACCAAAATTCAGGGTGTGAGTGCGCTTGTACATTAACTCCTTCAATGTAAAAGAAAATCATTCAATCATGGAAAGAAAACATAGCGAAAAGATCATTCCAGAAACTATAGTATACAAATTAGTCAAACACTCGCTGTACTCTGCTCACAAAATCCAGTGTTAGTAGACTTCTGAATTAATTTTAGTTAGAAACAAGTTAAGATTCGATGCATCCCAAGACACAGGAGAAACTAACAAGAATGGTACAGACAAACTATGTTGGCTAGATCGATGTGGATCAAATGCATTTTGTTCAAAACATTTTCATTCTAAAAATGGTATTTTTAGCACTATATATGTTGCATACATAAATTGGTTTCCGTTAATGCTTATCCTAACGAAGTCACGTGTTGCATGATGAAAATAAATTTTAAGACTTTCTGATGCAGTGTAAAATTAACATGCGTTATAGTTAACAACAGTAGAGAGTACTCTGTGTGTGAACAGAAAAAGTTTAACGTGTCCATCAGTGCGAGTGTGAATGCCGTCGTTAAGAAAATGGCTAAGAAAGGCAAACGGGCTAAATAATTTTTCCGTTTTGGATCAATCAATATCATCTGTCTATATACCTTCATGAGTTATTACTGAAGAGTTAAGTCTGCTCTAGCACCATAATGTACACAGAAAATTTTTTTAGAAAAAAAAAATATTTTTTATATCGGCCATTAAGAAGGGCGATCGTCACCTGGTCAAAACGGATCTTCTTAAATCCAAGTGGTAGATCAAATATTTTTGATTTCTATAAGATGTATCAGTTTGTGCATTTATACTTCTATTTTTTCTTTATATTCAGCTGTGAAACTGCATTAGTACATATAGGTACGATTTGCAGAGTAGTTGACCAATAAAACTATGACCTTTGGATCAATTGATTGTAGATTATACACAAGTAACGCTCATCTTCGATTCGCAGAACCCTTACTGGAAGGATGCCTCTTAATAGGCAGCTTTGTCCAATTCTAAGCAGGACTTAAACTTTAAGGACAATATCCGTAAAACTGTTCCTGCTAGGACACAATCAAAAAACACTTGTGAACAGAAAAAAACTGATGAGTCTAGTGAAAAGAGTTTTTCTCAAATGAGTATATACAATATACTTAACAAAGAAAAGACAATGAAGCAGCTCTTGAGAGGACAAGTCGATTGGAAAGAAAGTCGCAGTGTGTTTCACAAAAGAGATCTCAAGAGACTCGACTATTCTTGAGAAGAGAAGCCGACTAGAGAAACAGCAAAGCTATAATATATATAACAGGGGAAAAGAAACAGCCGAGGAAACCGTCGACCGTTTACACAACGATAGTATACGAAGACAGGTACGAAAGTTGAAGATCAAAAACATTTCCGACATTTTTGACAACTCATTTTTTTCAGACAAAATTTATTCATGTAGTCTATTTCTTACACTGTAATGTCGGGAATTATTTATAGAAAATGCTCGGCGATTTCCAAAAAGTCCATATATAAAT